ACGCCCCGCCACGCCCCCGGCAGGTCCTTCTGCGCACCTCTCAGCGGCGGGAAGGGACCGCCGAGCGCCGCCCAGAGAAGAGCCAGGGGTCGCTGTGGTCCTCTGCATGTAGGCCGCCGCCGCGCTCTTGGGCCTCGTAGGTGCCAGGAAAGCCCTGCCTAAATCCGGCGAATCCCACCCATGCTCTCCTCCCTTCCAGGTCCTTCTGAAGATGTATTATTTATCAAGGTAGGAGGATAGAGAATAATTTGACAGTTTACTAGCTTGATTTTTTAAACTTTTAAATATTTATTCACTTGGTGTGTGAGCCTCTTTTGGTACTCCCCTCAGATCCCTCAGATATTACAGTTGGGTCTAGTTACCACGACCTGACCTGGTCCAAGCCAGCAGCTGCCTACATCTGGATCCAGTGACACCTCTTAGCTCCAGAATTGCCCAGACTTTTCGAGCTGCAGTAAAGCCCCTCCAGGATAGTAGCCTCTCTTTACCTTGCAGCCTCAACTGTGTTTGCATTTGTGGCTCAGCTTAATGTTTCTCCTTGAACAAAAGGGAGAGTACTGTGTTGTCTCGACCTGGTAACTCCAGCCAATTCACCTCGCTTTGGTGTTACTCCCTAAGACTGCCTGTCTTCAGCCTGGCAGGCCCGCAGGCTCTCGTGCATAGCTCTCTTTCGGCTCTGGGTTTCTGTCCTTTAGCTCTGACAGACACACGCTAGTGTTTTGGATACAACAATTTAAACCTGCTCTGTTAAAAAAAAAAAATCCCTCATCTACATCTCTAGTTCTGGTCTCGTGCCTAGCTGAACTGTTCCCTGATGCCATTACTTCAAAGTCCATATGCCTAAAAACCACATCAAAATAACTCCTCTTCTTAGTCTCTTTATCTGTTTGGACAATGACGGTGTCTGCCTTCTTAACTACCAGGGTAAACACTTTGAAGTCATCCTTACCTCTTCCCTCTTCTGTATCTAATGTAATCTAGCTGGACAGGTCCTAGCAATTCTTTTTCCTTCACAAACTCACATCCATGGCGGCAGAGCTGGTGCAAAACTACGTCAATTCAGGTCCTGGCTTTACCTACTACTACCTCTGTGACCTTGGGTGACAGACTTACCGTTTCTCTTGCCTCCGATTCCTCCCCTATGAAATGGAAATAAGAATAGAACCTACTGATGAAGGTTCTTGTGAGAATTCAATGAGTTAATACATTTAAGGCACCTAGGGCAGTGCCTGGCTCATAAGTAGCACTCAAAACAAGTCAGCTATGTAGGGAAAACATTAAAGAAGACTGCTCGGTCTGCGCAGTGAAAAGTTAGACATTGTCCTGATTATGGGGTGTTTGTGTCTTTCATTGTCTTTGAAATATTTTACAATTCTGTAAATCGCAGAATATTGACAATAATGCAAGTGATTCTTGTCCATAAATATGCAAGTTACACCCATGGGAGATTCAGTTGATTATGTTCTGTGGATACCGACCAGTTTTACCAGTTTCATATCTATGGAGCAGATTTACTTCGGCATTCCTGACTCCCTATATGTCTGGTAGTTCGATTACTTCTTTGAATTGGTTGCAACATTTTGCTGGTTCCCTCACTAATTAATGAGCTAAGTGAAATTTTTGACATGTGTTGATGTTGACTTTACGTCTGTATGAAAGCCATGATTATACAGTTTTGTTAAAAATTATTTTTAACAAGTATCGTTAATTATTATTAGCTTTTCATTTGTTTTATTTCCAGTACCCCAGTTTCACATCTTTCTGATGGACCTATTTATTTGTTTTCCTGTCTCCAGGCCGATCAATCTATATAAAAAAATACAACCACTTCTAGTAATTCTAGTAATTCTAGATGCATACTAGAAGTATTATGAGCCTTTAGGTATGTAAACCTGAAAGCAGAATTCCAATTTATGGCAATAGAGGAAAAATTAAGAACTTTTAAAATTATTCTATAGGTGTTCACTGTCACCATCTAACATTTTTTGTTTTTTGTTTGTTTGTTTTTAATATTTTATTTTATTTTGTTGGTGGGTTTTGGGGGGGGCAGGGTAATTAGGTTTATTTATTTAGTTATTTTGAAGGAGGTACGGGTGATTGAACCACGACCTCGTGCATACTAGCCATGTACTCTACCACTGAGCTCTCCCCTCCCCACCAACTAACATTTTTTGAACATCTATAATTTGCTAATCTTGAAGTTAATTTTCTTGTACAATTATGAGCAATTTCTTGATATCCAAATCAATATATTTGAAATATACATACATTTTTTGGATTCAAGAGTAAACAAGTGCATGTGGTCTATGTCCTCAAAGAACTTATTCTTTAGTGGTAAAGACATTTAAACAAACAAAAATCATCACATATAAGTATGTAATTACAAAATGTGATAACTTATGTTGTATTAGTATAGTAAGGAGATAGGTTCAGCTGCTCAAATAAAGACACGAAATAACACTGTTGTAAACAAAGTAGACGTTTATTCCTTTTCGGAGGAGCAGTTCGGTGAAAGCGATTTAGGGTTGCATGGAGGTTCTCAGGTCCTGGAGACCTAGGCTCCTTCAGTCTGATTGTTCCGCCACTTGAGGGGTATTGCCCTCACCTGCGTGTCCAGGATTTCCCACTGCTAGTTCCCTATGCCAGCCAGCAGCGAGCGTGAAAGGGTGAAGGGCTAGAAACTCTTCTCTTTAAGACAGGAGTTCCTTAATCATTTTTGTGCCATGACATTTCACAGTGTATGTGCTATTTTGAGCTTTAAATAATAAGATCTAGAAATGAGTCTAATTTCAAGTTTCATAGTGGTGATGAACATAAACAATACTGAAAAGTTATTTGTGATTTCAGCTGGTGACGAGACCACGGTTACTCCTAACACTTTTGGGCTTTGTTGCCTAGATTCATAATTGAAGGCAATGCTAAATTTTAGTTAGCAGTTAATGAAAATACAGGTGTAGTTTTTTTTTCCTATTCAAATTCACAGACCCCTGTGAACTCTATCCATAGCTTCCCTGGGTTAAGAATCTCCTGCTTTAGGGGAAAAACCCTGGATTTGAACATATCATATCTGCTCATATCCCATTGGTCAGAACTTAGTTTTCCACAACTGCATCTGGAAATAGTCTTTATTCCAGGGAGCCATGTGCCCAGTTAGAAATCAGGGGTCCTATTATTACTGAAAATGAGGAGAATGGATATTGGGGAACCACTAACCAAAAAGAACCAGATACTATGAAAGAATTTTTAACAGTGAGTCCTAATCCAGATCATGGACAGGAAAAGTATCTCTGAGGAGGTGACAGTTAAGCTGAAATCTGAAGTATAATTAATAAAAATAGTAAGGATACCTGTTACCTATCGAGTGCCTACCACGTGCTCGGCATTCTTCTGGTATGCTGCCGGTATTAATTCAGTCTCACAGCAGCCATATTCAGTTTAGAGTGACCGTTCGGTTATAGCATTGGAAGTCCTGCAACCCAGTAAATCGCTTGGTCTGGGGCAAACCAGATGACTGTCACTCTGTTGATACTCTTGTTATCACCCCCATTTTACAGAAAAGGAAACTAAGGCATGAAAAGGTTAAGTAATTTGCTAGTAATTGGCAGAGGCAGGGTTTATACCTAGGAAGGCTGCTCCAGAACTCACCTGCTTAACTACTGTGTTGGTTTACTAGGGCGGCCTTAACAAAGTACTACAGATGGGGTGGCTTAAACAGCAGAAATTGATTTTCGCACAATTCTGGAGGCTGGATGTCCAAGGTCAAAGTGTTACCAGAGTTGGTTTCTTCTGAGGTCTCTCTCCTTGGCTTCTAGATGGCCACCTTCTCCTGTGTCTTTACATGGTCTTCCCTCCATGTGTGTCTGTGTCCTCATCTCATCTTTTATAAGGACACCAGTCATACTGGAACCCTAATGATCCCATTTTACCTTGAATTACCTCATTAAAGACCCTCTCTTGAAGTAGCAGTCACATTCTGAGGTACTGGAGGTTAGGGCCTCAATATACGAATTTTGGGGAGGACTCAGTTCAGCCCGTAACAACCACTATATTCTACTGCCAGGCAAAGGGGTGGGGGTGGGGCAGTGTTCTGCAAGAGGGAATTGCATGTACCCAATTCCTGAATCAGTAAAGGGTTCAGCGCACTCAAAGAACAAAGTGAAAGCTTTTGTTGAGTGGACTGTCTGAGGCTGGAGAGGTAAACAGGAGCCAAATGATGTGCCATTTTGTAGCCTAGGTTGAAGTGCCCTGGGGAGCCACTGAAAGAATTAAAGCAAGGGTTTGACATAATGCGACTTGGATTTTAAAAGACAACTCTGATGACTGTTTGGAGAATAGATGTGAAGCAGAGAGATGGGTTAGGAGTTTATGACTGCAGACTGAGGCAGAATTGTTGGTGACTTGGACAGGTGTAGTAGTGGAGATGGAGAAAAGTGGGTGGATATTAGACATTTGGTGCAGGTAGCAACAACGGAACTTGCTGATGCACAGAAGTTGTCAGGAGAAAGATACTGCCTGCCTCCTCCACCTGGGAGAACCCTTTTTGTGTATGTATCAGAGGAGCTGGGCCCCATCCTCAGCCCACAGAGGTCCATTCAGTGAGCAAACAAACCAGAGCACGGTGTTTCCACTTCCATCGCCAGTGACTGGTCCAGGACCATGCGTGTTTCCCAACTCTGGCCAAGGACACTTGTGGCAAAGTCCACTCTGGGGCTTCTGAGAAAACTCCCTCACCAACGAAAGGAGACACAAGGTGCAGTCTACTACTTATGAAACATTCTTGCCAAGAAGGTTTAGCATAAGTCTAATTAAGCTTCTAAATCGAATTTTGAAGTTTACAAGAAATACAAAGATGAGAGGAACAAGATAAATGACACCATGGGGAAGCATATCAGAATAATTCAAAAGAAAAATTCAAGGAGAAAACAAATGGGGGACTGTTCTAAATGTAATAAAAGGACCAAAGAAATATAAAACCAAATGCAATGTGGGAAACTTGGTTGGATTCTGGCTTGAAAAGGATAAGCTATAAGACATGTTTTAGGGACAACTGAGGAAATTTGAACTTAAGGCTGAACATTAAGTGGTGTAAGAGAATTTCTGTTAATGTTTCTCAAGTATGATGATATGTGGTTCTACAGGAGATATCTTTACTCTTAGGAAATACAGGCTGAATTGTAAAGTGTAATATCTGCAACTTATTTTCAAATGATACAGGAAAAAAGTATGAA